ACATGTGTATTTTAAAAAGTCACATAACTCATTAAAAATGTCATCTAACTAAAAGTATACGTGGATGGTCTATTTACTTACCACGTAATGGGATGGAGGTAAACTATTTCCATAAAATAATATGTTTAATTATATTATTTAAAAAAAAAAAAAAAGACTTCAGTTTTCACGATTAAGCATTTTACAAAATGAAATTAATGGTCATAGATAATTTGTGGGCTTGAATTAATCTTCTTGATCAACAGTCCTAAATTGTTTCTTGATAATGATATAGTATCCTGCACAGATTCTTTTCATTCTGTTGGATCCCTGGTTCAACTAAGCATTTTATTAAATATTTTATTTGACATCTTTAATCAAGAGAATGACTAAGCTCACGAAGTTCTCTTTTATTTGCACTGAACTAAGAAAAAAGTCTGACGTTTTTTTTTGAAATCATGTTTGTATTTCATTGTTCTGCAAATCCCAGTAAAAAGAGCTTCCTGGCTAATTTATTATTGGATTTTCGAGCAGTTTGGATTGGCTAGTGCGTTGGAGACTCTATGTGGACAAGCTTATGGAGCAGAGCAATACCAAAAGCTAGGAATTTACACTTACAGTGCACTTCTTTCTCTACTTATTGTCTGTATTCCAATCTCTCTGCTGTGGATATTCATGGATAAATTGCTCATATTCATCGGTCAAGATCCTTTGATTTCTGTCGTAGCTGGAAGATATGCAATTTGGCTCATACCAACACTAGTTCCTTATGCGATTCTTCAATCTCTAATTCGGTACTTGCAGACTCAGAGTCTGATCCTCCCAATGCTTTACAGTTCAGTTGCAGCATTAGTTTTCCATGTACCTGTTTGTTGGGCTTTAGTTTTCAGGACGAAATTGGGAAATGCTGGAGCAGCACTTGCAATTGGTTTATCATATTGGTTGAATGTGATCTTGCTTGTTATATATGTGAAGTACTCTTCAACGTGCAAAAAAACCTGCGTCTCATTCTCAAACAATGTTTTGCCGAGTATGAAGGAATTTTTCAGCTTCGCTGTCCCATCTGCTGTTATGGTTTGGTAACCTCATTCATCTTCCTTTTCTTAAGCCGAGTTATTCACTGTTTTCTGCATATTTTTCATACTGTATGGATTCTAACATCTAGAGGATATGGTGACTTTTCTAGTCTCGAATGGTGGTCATGTGAGATAATAGTATTACTCTCTGGACTTTTGCCAAATCCCCAACTCGAGACTTCCGTTCTTTCAGTATGGTATGACTTGTCTTAGTACTTCATATTTTTTTCCTACGTTTTTCATAGTTAATGAATTTGATCATGTGAAGTTCCGAAGATTATCATATTCTTAATACAATTATTTTTGCAACAGCCTTTTAGTTGCTTCATTGCACTACTTCATACCATATTCTGTTGGTGCTGCTGCAAGGTTGGCTCTTGAGCTCTTGTTAACTATTTCTTTTTTTTACATTATATTCATTGCACCGTATTTTCATTATTCGGCCTAATAGTTAGAGTATGTGTACAATTTATCCGATGCCTTCCATCTTGTAGCACAAGAGTTTCGAATGCCCTTGGAGCAGGGTGTTCGGAGACTGCTCGAGTGGCTGTTTGGGCAGCAATTGTTCTATCGATCATTGAGGTGATTGTTGCATGCACCATTCTGCTCTGCTTCCGTCATGTCGTGGGATATGCATTCAGTGATGTAAAGGAAGTAGCGGATTATCTCGATGAAATAACTCCCCTTGTTTGTCTCCTGCTAGCAATGGACAGCATACAAGCAGTACTTTCAGGTTTATTTCACTTGCATTTTTTCCCCTTCTGTTCTACTGAAGCATTGGTCAGTCACCACTCTGTTTGTGGCATCAGTAGTATCCAACAACATACTAATTGTAGCGACGTCAGGAAAACCTTGTACTCGTCTTTTCCATTATAGTGTAAACCTGTGGCGGGAAGAGTGAGTCACTAGTTCAGTTTGCCTGTCGATTTTCATTCTCTATGTTATTGCTCTGGTTAGAAAGGATTGGAGCTTAATCCTTGGCATTAATGACTTCAATGAGTTAAAACAATGGCATGACCAAGTCTTTAAGAGTCATGTATTTCTAATCCTAAAGAACGAAATAATGTATTCCATAAAGATCTCTTCCTAAGTTTGGAAGCGTCGTGGGATGAAACTCTCATGCATGGTTTTGAATGTGTAGAAGGAGGAGAAGCGGTTTAATGATAACTGAAATTAGTTCAACTTAATTTTGACATTACACTTAATATTCTTCCTTTCGGGTCCAGGAGTTGCGAGAGGAAGCGGGTGGCAGCATCTTGGGGCATATGTCAATCTCGGCGCATTTTACCTCGTTGGAATTCCGATGGCCACTGTGCTCGGTTTTGTGCTCCATTTGCGGGGGAAGGGACTTTGGCTTGGACTAAATATGGGGTCCATAGTACAATCTTTTCTGCTCACTCTAATAACGAGTTTAACTAAATGGAAAAAACAGGTTTCTCCTGCTAAATCTCAATTCTATCTTTAAACATTGTGTTGGATTTTATCTTTTAATAAGCCAATGATTTTAACTTCCTATATGAATAATTACAGGCATCAATGGCTCAGCAAAGAATATTTGAGAAGAGAAACACTGCTGATGAAACATGTTGAACTCAAAAAAGTTTTCAGATTCGATAGAGTTTGAACTTCTATTTAACTGATTGCTGTTAACATGTATGTTGATGCAATGAAAATCAAGTTCAATTATCTGTTTTATTGTTTATTTTGTTATTATTATTAGTTGGGGGAGTCTTTTGTTATTTTGTGTCAATTAGGGGCCTATTTGCAATTTCTTTAAAGTTGTGTTTTAAGATACTAGGATTTTCTGGAGGACTTATATTATTTTCTCAATCCTTGTTCTAGCCATTAGCATTGTCTAAATGATGTGCCTAAATAAGGAGAGATGTTGAGTTCAAGTTTCTTCACCAACTAATTAAGGAAATTTTGTAGTTATTAAGCTTAATTTTGTAAGAGGGACTAGGGAGTATGTTAAAAATAAATCTAATTATCCTCCTCCTTTTTCCAAATTTATTTTTAATAAGATAATTTTGTATAAGAATATAAAACTTTTTCGAAGAATGATACTTGTACAGAGACAATGCAGACAGTTTTACAAATGTTGAGATGACAGTATTATGATCGATTGTTTTAACTATATTTTTTTTCCCAGAATTCAATAAAATGTTGCCATGTGACATTCTGTAAATCTACCTATGCATTTACCCTGTGCATGAGACATTGTTCTAACTTTCCTACTTTTTAACTATGCGTTTTTTTATCAAAAGAAAATACCTTTCATATAATTTATTCTAAAAATTCTACTTCGATTAGGCTCTTAGTCCCTACTTTGATTTTTGTTCAAAAAATATGAGTTTTGAAAAATAATTTTTAGGAGAATATATGGTCAAAAATTATGAAAACAAACTTTGGGTTTACGTGCATAATTTTTTATTGTGTGAATGTATGGTTAAAAATGAATGAAAGTTTTAAGGTAATGATTGTCTAACAAGGCATTAATTTGATTAAAGAGATAAATTTAAAAATATAAGAGAATTATTTATGGTACAATATTTTTCCCAAAATTTCTTTTCAACTCTTTTGATATGAGAGAGAGAGAGAGTAAATCGTCTTCAACACTCTTTACAGAAGTTGGATATGTTATTCAAACCTTGTCGTCGGGATATTTTTTGTATCTCGACACACGTCATCCCTTCTTAACAAATAAAAAGACGTTAACTCATTTTTTTTGGCAAATCATCTCTTTTCGTTTGTTAAGAAAATATGTGACAATGTATCAAAAATATACTGAAACGGAAGGCTGGAAAATCAACAACTCTCAACCTTGGTTTAATAGCACAATCATGTTTTGATATCATGGATAGTGGCGGACCCAGCATTTAAGTTCAGCCCCAACAGTCGTTGATCGATCAACATCGACAATCAGCGATTGTAAAAGCGATGTCGTTTATTAATATTTAATTAAATAATATTAAAAATTATTTAATATATACGTAAACGCACTAAAATATAAAAAATAATACATAATTATCTAGTGTGTATTATCCGTTTGACATTTT